GACATAAGGCGCCCCTAGGGAGGCATTCGGAGCCTGGAAGGTGGTCGGGCGCAGGGAGTGGGTGGCTCAACGCAGGAGCACCCCCTACTGGCCCGCCTCACGTGGTGGAAACAGCGGAGGGATACAAATACCCAGCTGTGTTCCTGAGGCGGGATCTCTGCACCCACCACATGCTCAAACAATGTATTACCAGTCTAGGAACACATATGATATTTTCCCTCATACAATATGCTTCAGGATAAAATATTCACTCTGGATGCTTGCAGGCTTTAAAAAAAAACGGTGCTTTATTTTAAACTGAGCATGTTCCTATGCCAAGACCCACACATGCCCAAAAGAGGCAGCACATTACCTCAGCCCGGCTTGCCCAACATTTGTAAGATCAGGCGTTTTAGTGGGGCTTTTTTGGCACTTTTATTTAATAGCTGATTGAATCAGCTTTAGCTGAAAGCACCAAAAGCCACGCTAAAGCACCTATCTTTACAGACGCTACAGAGCCGGGTTTTAGTAATGCGCTGCTGCTTCCACTAAGTGGGTTTTTTGTAGGTTTTTTTAACATTTGCAAACAGCCCTTGTTTTTGAAAAGCAGAAGGAAGAAAAAAGATCTTTTCCTGTACTAAGTAACTAAGTAGCAGCAGCTAAGGAACCAAGCCTGCTCATTATTCTGCGCCCTCTGCATTGTGTACAGACTTTACTTTTAGTTCCCCTGGTAACCAGCAGACACTTCTCTTACTATATTTCATGCATATAATGCACTGTCCAATTTCCAGCAACTGATTTTTGGAAAAAAGGTGGGTGTTATACATGGTACATTTCAATGCCATGCAGCCTGAGATCCGAATACTGAAAGTATAATCATAAATCATAAGGATAACCTTAAATTCTTATATGCTTCGAGCACTCAGATGATATAGTTTGCAAACCCACATACCTACATATATTCAAAATCATTCTATTTCCATGTATGCAAAGCTGAAAGAATCAGCTCAGCTAAATACAGAGGAATGCAAAGACACAGAATTAGAATCATAGAGTCATAGAAAATTAGGGTTGAAAGGGACCTCAGGAGGTGATCTAGTCCAACCCTCTGCTCAGAGCAAGACCATCCACAACTAGATCATCCCAGCCAAAGCTTTGTCTAGCTGGGTTTTGAAAACCTCCAAGGATGGAGCTTCCACCACCTCTCTGGGTAACCTGTTCCAGGGTTTTACTACCCTCCTAGTAAGAAAATTCCTCCTAATATCTAACCTAAACTTCCCTTGCTGCAACTTGAGACCATTGCTCCTTGTTCTGTCATCTACCACCACTGAGAACAGTCTAGCTCCATCCTCTTTCAAACCCCATTCAGGTAGTTGAAGGCTGCTATTAAGTCCCTTTTCAGTCTCCTCTTCTCTAGCCACATAAGCTCAATTCCCTCAGTCTTTCCTCATAAGTCATGTCCCCCAGCCCCTGAACCGTTTTCATTGCCCTCCACTGGACTGTCTCCAATTTGTCCACATCCTTTCTGTAGTGGTGGGCCCAAAACTGGACACAGTACTCCAGGTGTGGCCTCACCAGTGCTAGCTAGAGGGGAAGAATCACTTCTCTTGACCTACTGGCAACACACCTACCAACACAGCCCAGTATGCTATTAGCCTTCTTGGCAACAAGGGCACACTGCTGGCTCAAATTCAGCTTATTGTCCACTGTACCCCCCAGGTCCTTTTCTGTAGAGCTGCTGCCCAGCCAGCCTGTAGTGGTGCATGGGATTGTTCCATCCTAAGTGCAGGACTTTGCACTGATCCTTGTTGCACCTCATGAAATTCCTTTTGGCCCAATCGTCCAATTTGTTTAAGTCACTCTGAATCCTAGCCCTACCCTCCAGCATATCTACTACTCCCTCCAGCTTGGTGTCATCTGCAAACTTGCTGAGTGTGCATGCTATTCCATCTTGCAGGTCATTGATGAAGACATTGAACAGAACTGGCCCTAGGACCAACCCCTGGGACACTTCACTTGATACCAGCTGCTAACTAGACATTGAGCTATTGATTACTACTCTCTGAGCCTGATGCTCCAGCCAGTTTTCTTACAGTCCATTCATCTGGCCTGTACTTCCTTAGCTTGCCTGCAAGAATGCTGAAGGAGACTGTTCAAAAGCCTTGTTAAAATCAAGGTACAGGTTTCCCTCGCTTTATGCTGTACATATGTTCCTGAAAAACGGCACATAACTCGAGTTCGCATAAAGGGAGCCTTACTTTACAATATAACAAATAGGGAAACTTCCAAGACCTCGACTGTACTGGCCCCCAGACCTATTTCTACCACTTTTACAAGACAATTTTGGTACTCAACAACAGCAGACAGTACACACAAGCACAGGGTGGTGGTGAATGTTACCATAATGGGGATGGCAACTACAGAAACATGTGAACAAGGAGCACAGATCCACACAGGAGACTATATTTTGGTCCACATCACTCCCATAATGCACTGCACAAAGCAGCTGACTGTAGGCTTCCACCACACTGATCACATAAAAGTGAATTTACCTCACATATAATGAATTTTTGGTATAAAAAGGCTCATAGCGTAAGAGCGAATTCGCACATACAAAACCCGCATAAAGCGAGGGAAACCTGTACACCACATCCACCAGTCTCCCTGCAACCACAGAGCCAGTCATCTTGTCATAGAAGGCAATCAGGTTGGTCAGGCATGACTTGCCCTTGCTGAATCCATGCTGACTATTTCTAATCACCTTCTTCTCCTCCAAGTGCTTAGAAATGGATTCTCTGAGGACCTGCTACACGATTTTTCTAGGGACTGAGGTGAGGCTGACTGATCTGTAGTTCCCTGGATACTCCTTTTTCTCCTTCTTAAATATGAGCACTGTGCCCTTTTCCAGTCATCCAGGATCTCTTCTAATTGCCATGAATTTTCAAAGATGAAGGTCAATGACTCTGCAATCACATCAGCCAACTCCCTCAGTACCCTTGGATGCATCCCATGGACTTGTACATGTCCAGCTTTTCTAGGTAGTCCCTAACCTGTTCTTTCACTACTGAGGTCTGCTCACCTTCTCTCCAAACTGTGCTGCCCTGTGCAGTAGTCTGGGAGCTGACCTTACCTGTGAAGTCCAAGGCAAAAAAATCATTGAGCACTTCAGTCTTTTCTGCATCCTCTGTCACAAGGTTGCCTCCCCCATTTTGCAAGGGACCCACAGTTTCCCTGATCCTCCTCTTGCTACCAACATACTTTTAGAAACCCTTTTTGTTACCCTTCATACCCTTTACTAGATGCAACTCCAATTACACTTTAACCTTCCTGACTTCATCCCTGCATGCTCAAGCAATGCTCTTATATTCTTCTTTGACCTGGGAAGCAATCCTTCTTCTTCGAAGAACATCCATGATCAAAGAAGCCAAAGCACTGCTGGTGACACCACCTGCACAGAGGTGTTGATCTGCAGGATGCACCTGCTCCTGCCCAGGCCCTTTTCCTTGACTGGAAGGATTGACAAGAACACAACCTGAGCCCCAAGGCCCACCACCCTTGCACACAGAGCACTGTAGTCACTTCTGATCTGCTCAGGGTCTCCCCTGGCAGTATCATTTGTGCCCACATGGATGAGCATCATGGGGTAGTAGTAAGAGGGCTGGAGGAGACTTGGTAATCCCTCCGTGACCTCTCAGATCTGGGCTCCAGACAAGCAGAAGACCTCCCAAGACAATGCATCAGGTTGGCAGATGGAGATGGCTCCCTCAATCCCCTGCAAAATGGAGTCTCCAACCACCAGCACTCGTCGCTTCTTTTTGGTGGCAGTCATCTTGATCCTTCCCACCTTGATGAGGTCTGGCCTGTCTTCCTCCCCCAATGGAACATGCTCCTCTCTCTCTGCTGCTAGGGCTGAATATCTGTTCTCCAGACGAGCCACTTAAGGTGGGGGTGAAGATCTTTGCTTGCTGCCAGAAGTCACAAGCCTCTAGCTTCCACCGTCATAGATTTAATAGATTTCATAGACATTAGGCCTGGAAGGGACCTTGTAAGATCATTGGGTCCAGCCCCTTGGAAGTCAGCTAGGGTCAAAGGATCCCAGCAAGATAAGCATCCAGAACCTCTTGGGTGTCTATGTCCTCTCTCTTCTTTAGTGCTGCATCTGGCATTTCTTCCTCCGTGGCCCTGGAGGTCCCCTCCAGCAGTGAATTGATGAATGGCTCATGGCAGAGGATGATTCAGAGTCTCACCACCTCCTCCTGTAGTTCTCTTTCCTGTTCCCTGTGAGATACCACCACGAGGCACCACTCACATGGCAGGCACTCCCTGACCTGGCCATCACAGGAAGGAACCTGCAAGTCACAGTTTCCACAGTGCCATACCTGGACCTGGGTGGAAGCCTCAATGGTGAGCAGTCCTGCCGGGACAGAAACCTCACAGGTGCAAGCAGAGTCAGTGGCTCTGGCATTGTGACATCAAATTCATTGCAATCACATCAATCACAGAAAACTAGGAAAGAGAAAGCATTGGGGTCCTACCTGTTTGCCTCTTTTTCCTGGTCTTCCAATAGGTCCTCTGTGCCCTGGAGTACCACATTCTCCCTTTGGACCCATTTCTCCCTGAGCAAAGGCAGAAGGGAAAGGAAGTAGGACTTAAGTACAGAAATAATGCATTCAATCAGACAGGCACCTACACATGCACCTACTACACAACAGGGCTGATTCATGCTATTACTGTCTATGAAAGTTGACACAACTCTGTCCTAAGATAATTCCATTGCTATTGTAAAATATGTGTCTAGTGCAAGATTATAACTACACATTTAAGAAATAAATTATCTTCTTTTTTAATACAAAAGTTCTCTGCAAGGTCCTTTGCGGAAAGAGGAAGCCAGGTGAGGAATTTAAAAGTAGGCTATCAGTCTCAGGGTTTTCCAGACAGTACTACTATCAATCATCTCTCTGCCCCATGGGAACTCTTCATATTTGCTACAAGGAGCCACATGTAATAAAACCTCCATCAACAAGAAAGGTGACCAACTCTGTTATGCCACTCAGAAGCAACCAACGTTTTCTTAACCTGGTTTCCAAGGCAGGATGTAATTATGTCATATATATCAGCCTTCATTTAAGGATTCTGCCTATAAAACAATGTAGAAATCCAGAGGATAAATGTTTGTCTAGTTAATGATTAACAGAGGTATCAAAACTGGCTGGGTTTGGCCCTGCTATGTAACAGAAATGTTAATGAACTTGCAAACAGGAATCCAAAATATTAAAGTGGGGCATGAATATGAGCAAGCAAATATACCCGAAAAGAAAAACTACCAAAACAAAAGCAACACCAGAAAACTCTAATGATTCAAAACCTGAAGTCTTCACCAAAGCTGGAGAGGCTGCAGGATTTGGTCCAATGTATGCCAGATATTGGTCGCCTGATTAATATTAATCTCTCAATTCTTTGTCCCTCTGTAACCAAGAAACAGATTTCTAGGAAAAAGGTGCTATTGAATCATTCACTGAACCTATGTTGATGCTTGATCACATTTCTGAGGAGACGCTATTTGCATGCTTACTTACTTTCTGCCCCAGCATCCCAGGGAAGCCCATGTCACCCTGAAACATGAATGACAAAAGTAATCAAAACCATGTTAAGTGATCTAAGAGAGAGCAGTGTTAGTTCTGGTTCTGAAGCGATCTAAGCCAGTAAATATAGTGCTTTCTTTTACTGAGCAAAATCATCCAAGCAATTTATACAGGACCAGTTTCACTATGAAAGGTTCACAGGGCCATATGAGCCAAAAGGTCATGAGGAGGGATCTACCTAAGTTGAGACAAAGGGTTTTTCATGGCCTGCTTTGCAGCATATGCAGGAAATTTTGCAGGCATTTTGCAATGGCCCTGCCCCTTTCCACTGATTGACAGAGGGTGCTATTACTCAGTCTATGTCACTACTAGTTTTTTGCCCCACCCTTCACACACCACTACAGCTTTTTTTTTTTGGTTGATTTTGCAGGAAATTGTGGCCAATGCCCATTATGGTGATTGCAGACAGCACTGTTATTCATGTTTTTCACAAAACTGCGATTTAAGTATGTCCCTAATCATGACGGATCCCTGGAAAGTCTAGACTGCTGCTCTGGCCAAGGTGACCAGGGCTGTGTGCATCTCATTTATCAGCCAGCGTGAGCATGGGCCTCAGGGATCTCTAGAATTTGAACACACCACAGTATGCTCATGCTGTTCCTATCAGCCTGGTATGGAAGAGAATTATTCACTGGTTAGCTAAAATTTAAATTAGCTGTGGATGCATCTGAAGGCATTCACATGAACTCTGTTCTGTAGCAGTAGGTCTATCCCTGCATAGGGCAAGGGATGATTAATTACTTTTAAGCCTTGTCCTGACAGCTAGTGTTTCTTGTGGTGAGCACAGACTGTCCCTGGGCCCAGGGTTAGATGCCTGCAAATATTTTACTTTGAAGTGCCTGGAAATCCCTTTCTGATCATGGCATTTTGGCATTTACTTAGAAGAGATTTGCATTCTGTACAGAGGGGAATTTAACTTTATTGTAAAAATGCCATGTGGTTAAATCTCAGGGGTTTTCATTGTAATTTAGCATCAATTAGTAATACCATTTTGAGAGGCTTTCAGACTGGATTATGACCACTCAGGTTTAATTTTTAAGCCACTGTGAAATCAAAAAAGGTACCTTTTCTCCTCTGACACCTTTGTCACCCCGGTCTCCTCTGGATCCCTGAAGGAAATCATGGCAGAAATAAAGGGTTAATTATTCCCATTTCAAAAGCAAACAAAATTTTGATTGTCATGGAACATCAGTCAGGACCATGCAGTGCACACTGATCCATATTTGGCAGATAGCGGATTATATCTCTACTACCCTACTTAAAACGTCTCATACCATTAATTTCTATATTACAGCAGCAATTAAAGTAGAGCTGGTAAGAAAAAAGGGACATGTTTGCAGGAAATTGTTCTTGAAAATGTAAGTCCTTTTTTGATTACAAATATTGTGTACTCAAGGTTTTTTTTCAAAACCAGGCTCCAACAGAAGAGAGAAGCCTGCTGTTTAAGGCAATGTATGCCCTGTATTAAGATACACTGGTAAGAGGCACTGTAATAAGAGACTATCTTTGCCACATGGAACTAGCAGTCTAAATCAAGACTCTGAAATTCACCACCCTTCCACCCCGCAAGGCCACAAAAGTGCTGCAGGGTCCCTTGTGGGCTGGTTCTTGACTGCAGGGCTCCTTGTAGACTGGATGTGGCAGCCAGGAGAGCAGCAGCAGCAAACTAAATGCTGCCTGCCCCTGCCAGACATGCTCAATGGGGCTCCATGCCCTGGATTTCAACAGTGGGACCTGACCCCACTCATCCTGCCCCCTGGGACTCCTGCATGCCACACAACTGAGTTCCATGAGTTACTTCCAGCCCACAGGTCATATATTTGACGCCCCTGACTTAGACCAGACAGACAAAGTTCCTCATTTCTGTGGATGGGGAGCAGAGATGAAATGACTATGCTAATTCAGAAGAGGTAGAAAAAATGAACCTGTTCTTTGGCATCCCAGGCAAAACCAAAAGACCATCCTATTTCTCTGTATTAGTTTCAATTATTTTCTTATGTTCATAGACCCTTTGCATTTTATTGCATCAGCATTTTCATGTGTTCCTGGTCCATAACACATTCCTGCAATTACTTGGTTTCTCTTATTGCTTCCAATTGTTACGTTACCCATGGTATAGTAGTATAGCACTGACCTTTTCTCCTCTAGTTCCAGGATAACCCTACAAGGGAACAAGAGACATTCTAATGCTTCACATTTTCTAGTTCTTCTGAGAAACAATTCATATCTTGCAGATTTAAACACCAGGAAAAAATTAAAATACAAATGATTAGTCATATATCAAATTCTTTGCAGCTTGTAAGAGAACAGAGAAAAAGCATACACATGATTATACATGTTAAAAGCAAGATATTTCAGCCTATGAGCCAGCATGAAAAAGCTAGGTAACAAACACACTAATCATGTTTGAAAATGCTTTAAAATTAGAACATCGGAAAGCAAATAGAATTATGGCTGTAATGAAATCTCATTCAGTCTCTACAAGAAATTATCCCAAGCAATTTTAGAAATAATTCTCCCCACCTTCTTTTTTACTATCCTACATGACAAACATAAAGATAAGTCCCTAAAATACA